ACATTCTTTCTCAAAAAAGAAATAATCCAAAATCTACTTGATTACATTTTTCAGGTTACACCACTATATATATATATATATATATATATATATATATATATATAAAAAATCAAAAACATTTTCATTAGTACTGAGTTATGCTTCATCTCATGCCATGTCACCTAATGATGATTGGAGAGGTGTGACTTGAAACATTGAAGAATGAATGCATTCAAGCCGCCATCTAAAAAAAAAGAAAATGGGGGGGGGCAGGATGAAAAATCTCTTGTGAAAATTACTTTATATTAATTTAAAAATAAGGAATAAAAAAAAAAAAATTAAGGAAAGAGAGAAGGGAAAGAGAGAGAGAGAGAGATTAACAACCAAAATATTTATAAAAAAAAAAAATTTGAAAAATCGAGAGATAAAATATCAAATAAATACCAAACAATACTGACAAGCTTTCGATAAAGCATTGTGCACAGTTAAGTGATATGACTGCAGTATAAGAGACCAGTTGTAAGGGAGATAACTGGTCCTACTGTCTAAAATTAACGGATTTATCGTTATGAATATATTTACCGGAGAGACACAGTTGCGAAGAGGAGTCGGGGTGGGGAATTAAATGGTTTATTACTTGAGAATTATCGTCATGTAGAAAAAGGCTAATAATAATAATAAAAACAACACTGACATCAATTATGCCGACCTCGTTACCGATTGAGGGAATGGATTTCAGAGCGAGACAATGAGGGATGGTCGAGAGTCAAATGTTTAGAGATACAAAAAGAAAGCTGTGAATACCTTACTTAACGAATTTGTGTAAATGGTTGGCAGAAAAGGATGTTGTGGAGAACCATGATTGCCCACGTCATGAAAGAGGATATGGTACATAAAAGAAGTTACCAATTCCAACCAATTTTTCAAGCAAATGATGTTAACTAAACATAAATATTCATTTTTTTTTTTTTTTTTAATCAAAATATGAAAATTTACTATGAGTTCCTTCTTTAAAATTGATGTGCGGGTGGTGCAATGGATACATCACCGAATGAGAAATCAGAGAGCTAGGTTCAAATTACACTCAATTTTGTTACATTCACTTTTGTGCAAATACATTTGTGAAAGGTAGGAATCCATATCTCCTCTCTCCCAGCTATGGTTAAATAGAAAGGAGGCTGGGTTCTTCAGTCTTTGTTGACAACTCGTCTAGAAGGACAATTCTGAATTCAAAAACATATGTAGCCCTGGCAAAGTACATACTATACAGGTAATAAAAGGATTGTGGTGTTTACAAAGACTATGAGCCTCTCTGCAATTATTTAATCATCTCTTTAAAATGAAAAAAAAAATCTTTAGTCTTTAATCCCAATGAATATAAAATAAAGCAATTAAAATTATTTTAAGCATTGACGATATTTAACAGAATGCTCACTCATTCTGAATGTGGCAAAAGGCTTTTTTTTTTTTTTTTTTAATGTGGAGGCCCCATGCATATGCGTGACAAAAGTCTAAAAATAGCCTTTTTTTTTAGTTTAAAGTGTTAATGCATTCTGTTGCATTCACTTTCACACTAACCTTCCATCCTATGGTATGACTCCATTTATAATTCCCAATGCAAGTTATGGATTAAATAACAGGGTAGACTAGAATCTCAAGCCTTGGATGGCAACCAGTCTAGAAGGATAACTCTGAATTTAGAACAGTTAAAATGAAGAATGAGAAACTGTTCCACTCTCTTAAGAAGTTATGGCAATTTACAGATAATAAAGAAAAAGAACATGTGGAGGGCCATGATCACCTATGTCATGAAGGGATATAGCATAAATAAAGCTTTATCATTGGAGTTATGAGAAGTTCGCTAGTTTGAAAAGGACTTCTTAATTAACAGATGATAAAGAAAAGGAATGTGTGGAAAGTCATAATCGACTACATCCAAATGTTGAGTCAAGGGACATGGAATTAAAAATAAGAGAAAAGAAAACTGCAAGTTAAATAAAATCATATTTTTTCTTATTTTAAAATGCTCTTAACTATTTAGCATTCAACACACTCAAACATGCCTCATAAATATCAGTTATCAATATCTTACTTGTTTACATGACTTCCTGCGTTATTTGCAATGATGCCACCATATATTACAGCATTGCAAACATGGGACAGGTTATGGGAGAACTGATATTTATGGAGCGGGTTTGGGCAGATTGAATGCTGAAGGGTTAACTTTATGAAGCTAGATAGGTTTGGATAAATTAAGTTATATTTGAAAGCCCTGAGTGAATAAATTTTAATCTGACTTCCTTCTCATTACTAGTTTAAGTTAGCCCAATTTTATTTTAAAAAGCAGCCCCAGAAAGTTGTAAGTAACAAAATTCAGAATTTAACGGCACCAAGCTTTTATAATGGCCCCAAACTGGAAATGCTACATTTAACTACTGGACGATGCATGCTTATTATTATTATTAATATTTTTCTTTTTTTTTATCTGGTTTCTTTGGGGAGCAAAACAATTTTGATTAATTTGCATGCATGGAATCCCTATGGATCAAATTTTATTTTAATCAATTTTTTTTTTTTTTTTAATACAATGATGTTCACAGGTTAGAGAGTCACTCAAATTAGAGTTACAAAGTAAGAAGCACAGTTTATGCAGATATACGAGGAAGATAACATTTAACCGTAAACTTGATCAGGTTAAGATTGTAGTGGTCAGGGAAGCATCCTCTTGGGAGTCAGTTCAACAAAGCAGCGATTCAAGCAGAACTTACATCTCACCAATGGAACATGAAGGGAATGACGGTGGTTCGCTATAATGGGTGTGGCCTGGTGGGAGTTAGCTGGGAAGGTTAGAACTGGTGGAACTAAAGAATATAGTTTGTCTAAACACTTTCCATGGAAATAGTAATTTTTTTTCATTGGGGTTTTTGAGTTTATTTTGGATATTGTTCTTGAGAATGTTAATAAAGTTAATGTAAAAACTTAAGTAGACACGGATTAATAAGAATAAAGGATAATCTTATGGATAAATCACGGAAGAACGATTTAAGATTAAAAAAAAAAAAAAAAAAAAAAAAAATAGAAGACTTAACCAAGATTTAAATATCACTTAGAAGATTAAAAATAGTCCCAGTGTCTCTTTTATCAAGTGACCTCTTATACTAACATCATATCAATAAGAAGGGCGGCAGTTATAACAAAAAACAAAAAACCCAAAACAACCAAGGATGCAACAAACATAACATCTGGAAATTAGTTGAAGAAGAGAGATGAAAAAAATAAAAATGTAAATTGGGGGGGGGGGGGCGGGAAAAGAAAATTAATTAATCCAAATAAATAAATAAAAAAAAAAAGAATTAATATTAAAAAGTTCTTTGCTTTTTTTCTTCAAAAGGGACAATACAAATATACTCATTGCTAGAGTTTATATGATGGAGATTGATAAGTTTGTCATTATAATGCTAATTGGTAATATTTTAAAAGGTTTTAAAAAAAAAAAAAACTATTTTGTATTTCCTAAACTATCTTTCACTGATGTAAAGGTTAAATTATTTATACATTGTGTTCTCTCGTTTTACTATCAAAATCCATTGGCAGAATTTTCTTTTTACTGTTATTATAGAAATCTATTAGCAATATTTTCTTTTTACTGTTATTATAGAAATCCATTAGCAATATTTTCTTTTTACTGTTATTATAGAAATCCATTAGCAATATTTTTACTAGAGAAATAAATCAGCCAGGATTTTACTTATAATAAAATCATAAATGAATATTAATAATTCATTAAATTTTGTTTATGCAATTTTTATTTACCATTCTTAATGATAAATCTTTTTTTCTATCTTTTCTCAATCCATTAAATGCCTAACGCCCACCATTTTGGGAACTCTGAGCAGAAACCTAAACCAGATGTGTCTGTCATTTTTTTTTTTTTGACACCTATATCAGATGTATTTTTTTCTTGCTTTTTTTAGAAACCTATACCAGATGTGTTATTTTTTTAATTTTTATTTTAGAAACCTATACCAGATGTGTTATTTTTTTAATTTTTATTTTAGAAACCTATACCAGATGTGTTTTTTTTTTAAATTTTTATTTTAGAAACCTATACCAGATGTATTTTTTTTTTAAATTTTTATTTTAGAAACCTATGCCAGATATGTTTTTATTTTTAATTTAGAAACCTATACCAGATGTGTTTTTATTTTTAATTTTAGAAATCTATACCAGATGTGTCTTTATTTTTAATTTTAGAAACCTATACCAGATGTGTTTTTATTTTTAATTTAGAAACCTATACCAGATGTGTTTTTTTTTTAATTTTTATTTTAGAAACCTATACCAGATGTATTTTTTTTTTTAATTTTTATTTTAGAAACCTATACCAAATGTGTTTTTTTTTAAATTTTTATTTTAGAAACCTATACCAGATGTGTTTTTAATTTTTATTTCAGAAACCTATACCAGATGTGTTCTTTTTAATTTTTATTTTAGAAACATAAACCAGATGATTTTTTTGGGGGGGAAGCCTATAATATCAACATTATATTTTAATTTTTACGGCAGGCATTAATAGGCTAAATGAAAAATAAATTTTTGCAGTGTATTGAATAAATTTAGAATTTTGATTCCTTAATGACTGAGCAATTTATAACACTGTCCCTTTTGTTGAAAAATTTGAAAGAAAAACGTTTGAAAAAAGTTTTAAATTAAATTCTTCAGGGAAAAATTAAAAGCTTATTGAAAAGAAAAATCAAAATAATTAAAGAAAAAAGTTTTAGTTGAGGAGATTTAAAAAATAAGTAAAAAGGAAAGTATAAAATAATTTCTTTTCTTTTTTGTTTTAGGAGAAAGAAGTACTGGGTTAGACAGTCTGACTACAAGCCATGATAAAAACAACCAACCACTCACTATATTAGGATAGGAAGATATATATATACATACATATATATATATTATATATATTATATATATATATATATGTAGAAGAAAAAAAAACAAAATTTTCCAATATCTCTTAC